ACAAGTTTTTATTTATTGACGTGTCAAACTTAAAATGACATAAAAGCCATTTAGGATAACCTGTTATAATGGATTACATGTCATTTTAAAAGAAAATTTTAATTTAAAAACAATTTTTGAAAATGAAAAAGGCCTCAATCCCTCTCAATCGCATTGTTCGACAGTTCGTTCATTACCGATGATTGTTCGTTCACCCTCAWTTCCTCATCGACCCTCACCCTCTTCTTCCTGATCRAATCTAAACCCTAATCGACCCTCATCCTCTTCCTCATCGACTTAGTGCTGTGATTTTCAACAGGTAAGTTTAATATGTTTTACAGCCATGTATATGACACTTRGAATAAGTTCACCAAGTTCTCTAGAGAATCAGTGCACGATACTTTTCTATATGCAAGAGAATCTGCTTCATGGAGGTCCTGTGCATGATACTGTTCTAATAGGCCTTAGAGAAGGTTTGTTTAGGCCTACTATCAAATTGAATTGGGGATGATGATCGTAGATAGAGCAGGTAATGAAAACAATGTTACATATATTATATTCATTATGAATATTCATGTGTGTACAACAACTCGAGATAGATTTCATCACGTAACTCGACATCACCTTCTTCAATGTGATAAGTACTATACACACCCACATAGACCGATCGAGAACCCATCGAGATCGAATAAAATCTGGTATCGCTTTTTCGAGTGTCAAACAACCAACCTGAGAAAATTCCTAGAAAGTCAAACATGTCAACCAACATTCTTCAAATTCATTTTCATCTTGAGTTCATATCTTCAGCTACTCAATTTACCTTAGAGGTCAAATCTTTAGCTGCTCAACTTATATGCCTTAAAGTAACCGTAGATGACATGCATGCCTTCCTTCAACACCAAAAAAAAGGAATTTGAATTTCAACTATTAGCATGCCATCATCTATAATTTTCGAACGATAAATGCGGCTGTAATTGGGCAGCCATGGCTACTATTGACCAATGCATAAGCCATAAAGCTACTGCGTCCGTCTTGGATTCAGTCTGAATACGGTTTAATCGACTACGTATTGAAGCATATGACACGAGCAACTTAATCCTTTGCGCTTTCTTTTACTAACGGAATGTCCTTGGAACAAGTCCTCAACTATATATATATATATATATATATATATATATATATATATATTAGATTCAGAGCCTGTAGAAACCATAGTATTTAAAAGCAAGAAACTCTTCCATAGATGTAAATGTTGATAATGGATGTAAATAAATCTAAGTACAAATGCATAAGTGGAAGAACACATGCATGGGATGGTAATGTTGATAATGGATGTTACCAAAATAAACAGGAAATCAATAAAAAGACCAAGGCTGTAAAAGCCAAGCCTCCATAAAGCATAGACATTATTGTCATAGTGGATGATATTACATTTTAAGCCAAGGTTTGTAGTAACCAGGGGGGGGACGGTCTAATGGTCCCTTAGGGGGCCTGGCCCCTGTGATTTTTTTTTCTAGATAGGCTAATGTATATGGTCCATAAGCTTGTGTAGAGTACAAAAATTCAAACGGCCCCCCTCTTGATCCAGCGACGACGAGAGTACTAGCTAGTCTACGAGAAGTCGAGAACGCAGACGACAGCGGAAGCGGACATCGACGACGACGAGAACGCAGACAACAGGCAGGCGGCAGCCGCAACACCGCGGCAGCGACGAGTGCGACGGTAAGTCCTTGTTTTCTCTTGGCCTTTGCCCTTTAGGTGCTGTTTATTTGGTTGTTTCTGCAGTTTGCGTTTTCTTTTTCCTAGTTCTCTGTTATGTTCCGTAACCTAACCTGCTCATCTGCATCTGCTGCTGCTGCACTTTTTGTTTTGAAATCAAAACCCAAAGAAACCCAATTTGTTGGCTTGTTGGTGTCTTTGAAAATTGAAATCAAAACCCAATTTGTTCTTGAAATGTATTTAAAATTCCATATTTGATATTGATTGCAAGAATCTGTTGGTGCACTTTTTGTTGGCTTGTTGCTGTCTTTGAAATCAAAAACCAATTTGTTCTTGAAATGTATTTAAAATTCCATATTTGTCCCAAAACACGAAAGTCCAGAATTTGTTAACAAAGCGACTGTATTTGGAACTAGATGACTTGGCCATTTTTGGAACAATTCCTTCTTTGTAGCCTCTTTTAACTCACAAGAATCTGAACTAGGACATTTAGTTCTCTTCCTCAAATTTGTATCTAAATCACGCAATTTTCTTTTATGAGGGACATCGACTTGCTTACCATCTCTAATATATCCCAGATTACATGTTGTATCCTCACTTCTCTTTGAGTGTTTTACTGATGACCCAAGATCCAAGCCACAGGTGAAAAGGTATTCACTTCCTGTTGTATTCTCCCAAGTGGGTTACATTTGTCTGGTTTTACTAAACCATGTTTTTTGTAACCACCTTGAATGTTTTATTGAACAGTGTATTTTTGGTCCCTTTAAAATATATAATATATTAGGTCCGGCTCCTACGGTCTGAAAGTTTGTGTTCCGCCCCTGAACTTTGTGATAAAAACTTACAAGAGACTTTCAAGTTTTTAGGTGTTGAAAGGGAAGTCTTAGAAACCGATAGTAATTGTATTAAACTTAATTCAATTAAGTGAAAGTCATCTTTGAATTCAATATTTATAAGAAAAGGTTAAAAACACACACTCATATTGTCTCTTGTTTAGCAAGTGATAGGTCATGTAAGACGATAATTCCACTAGGTGTAGGTGACACAATTATATATATATATATATATATATTTTTTTTTAAAGTCAAATACACTTTAATATAAGGTGGGACGACAAAAAAAAGACAACTCCAGCTTAACATCAACTGTGTACCATGTAAGTGATCCACATACAGAGTTCACTCGTTTTGTTGCTTAGTACCAAACTCTATCAATTATGGTCGATCATGTAATCGTAATCATGATCATGATCATCTTTAGCAATTACAATCGCAAACACGGTCGATTAAGATGATCGATGTGGTGGGTGAAGCTAACAAGCCAAGACGTCAACCGCGTACTTAAGAAGGTTACGAAAAATCGAGGTTATTAGGAAAAATTTCATGCTATAAAAATTCCGCGAAGTACCAGGAAGATGCTCCCACGTTCCTAAGTACAACAATTTGTACTGTCGTCAAGTGCTCTTGTTTAATTATTTTTCTAAATATGGAAGTCCGTAGGTTTTGCCGTTTTCGTAAGTTTAGAAATTTATTTGTTTGATTTTAATATGTTTAAAGATTTATTTGTTCGATTTCAACAAATTTACGAAGATTTATTCTTAAAAAGTATTCAAGAACTTAAATCCCTCAAATTATGAAAGTACGTTGGGGTTTTCTAGACTTTTTCCTTACTCGTATTTGTTGAGTTCAAGTATGTAACTTTTGTTTTCCATGGATTATATTAGGGGTGCTCAAAAACCCGACCGACCCT